TTTTTTTTGTATTTTGGCGGAGTGGTGAGCAGGTAGTGCAACACCACCACCCATGAAAAACGCTAGTCACCTAGGAAGGAATCGAAGTGACTAGAGAGCCAAGGTGAGGGTGATCCTACTAAACGTAGCCATCTCTCCAACTTCGCCGGGGAATCGAACCCCGCCTCACCAAACCCTCCCAAAAATTAAATACACAAGTAGGAATAGCATATATACAACGAACCACAGGACAAAGATCGAACCAAGCCACTAGACAACTCGACACAGTTTACATGACAAAAAAGCCACCTCTGTGCAGAACACCAATAAAGGAGACCAGCGCCTCGGATAGACCTCACTCGCTACGGTAATGCCACTGCACGAAGCTGATTGCAAAAGAGTGCGAAAAACAATTTGAAGCAATTTGAAGCAAATTCGTCTTCATTGTGGTATCTAATTCAGTACATATGCCGGTTTTTGTAAGCTAGATATTTCTGTTTCTGACCTTGGCTTGTCAAATTAAATGTAAAGAAGGCAAAGCTAACTCTTCCGGATGAGGAAGACCTTAAAAGACTCGAAATCACTACCTTTTTATGTCAAATTGATGGGTCGCGTGATTCTCTGAATCTGATCCCACGATGATTAAACGTTATTGCTTCTTACAACAAGTTTGCAAAGAAGCCAGGCCCTTAAATTATTGCGTTGGTTTATTGACTTCTAAATTTCTCAAGATCGGTGATTTTGCCTGATGGCGAAGCTGCCCCCTCAAAGAAATGGGTGGAAAAATTTATGGGGAGCTGATTACGTTTAGATGTCTTTCCAGTCTATCATAGTTAGTTTTTTCTGTAAGGACGTTCGGTCGCGTAACAAATGTCTTATCAACCAAGTTTGCTCGGTTGTTCTAGCTATGCGCTCAGTCTGTCCTTCCGTATTGTCAGGACCTAGACACCGAGAAATATGCACGACACTTTTTCCTCGAAGACTAACTTATTCTTTTGGCTTTGAAGGGTCCACGTATGGACCGTCAAAAATTGCAAAGCCAACTGTATTTCAAGCCGTCTTGCGGAGTATTGGGAAAAGTTTTCAATCAGCAATAACCGCGCCTCGGATAATCCTCACTGGCTACGGTAATGCCACTGCGCAAAGCTGACTGCAAGAGGATGCGGAAAACAATTTGAAGCAAACAATCTTGCCTTCATTGTGGTATCTAATTCCGTACAAATGCCATTCTTTTTAATCTGGATATTTTGTTTTTAATCCAGAAAAATGTCTTCTTGCTAAATCAGGCATAAAGAAAGTGGCTAACTCTTGAAGTGGAGGAAAACAGTGCAATGAAATTGTTTCATTAATCAGTTACAGCAATGTAAAAGAAACATCTTTGGGGCAGACCATTGCTACTTTTATGCCAAATTGATAGATCGCGTGATTCTACGAGTCCTGCTGATGTCTCCGCCGCGGACCTATCTGGCACTGTTGACGCTTCGGCTGTTGCATCAGTGGGGATGTCTGACGTGGATTACGTTCCTTCTCACTCGTATGTCGATTCGGATGCTCTTCTAAGCATGAATGAGGTGGCTTCTGGGGATGAGGAGGTTGTGCGAGCTGCTCTGCAGCTACGTGAAGCGTGCAGCCATACTGTGCTCTATACAGAGGCGGGCCTCTTGGGCAAGGACTCCGACGTGCGTTTTGACTTCGGTCCGCTTACGGAGTCTGTCCTTGAGCTGGACTTCTGTGTCGACATCTTCCGGATGAACTTCTACACTTCCCATCTGGAGGCTCGTGCCCGGTTTACCCTGCCAGACGCTGACAGTCCAGTGGAATTCCTCCCTGACGTCCCCCCCCCCCCCNTTTCCCGCGTCGTCCGTTTTTGTCTCGTCCACGTCTTGATTTTGCCGATTCGTCTTCGTCTTGTTTTCTGCCTGCCAAGTCCAGTGGTTCCGTTGCTGTTTCTTCTGCCGTTACGTCTAGTCCTGTAAGTTCCGCTGCTGCTCGTGGTCCTGTTCCACCCAGTCGTCCTGTCACTTTTGTTACTGCTTCGCGTGGTAGCCCTGTGTGTTCCGTTGCTGCTTCGCCTGCTGCTATGTTTGGTCCAGCTGCTGCACCTTGTCGCTTGTTGCCTTCTTTGCCTGTTTCCAAGCCTGTTTTCCGCCCTGTTCTTCCTGTGGCTCGCGTCGTTTTGGTCTTCCTTCCTGTGTTGTTACCTACCCCGTTTGGCCTCGTCTTCGCGCTTTTGCCTGTTCTCCGTTGAGTTTGGACTTCCGTGTCGTCGATTTTGGACTGTTTTGTTGTCGTTTTTGTCTTGGTTTGTTTTGGGTTGCATATTGGTGGCGAACCTATTCCTTTAGGATTAGTCTGTTGACAGGTGCCCCTCTTTTGGGTTCACCTTTCGCCGTTGCCCCGAGCAGTGTATGTTAGTCCTGTTGTCTGAAGTCTTTGCCTGTTCGTCTCTCGTTTGTTTGTTTTTATGTTTCTTGTTTGTAGGGGCGGGGTTCGATCCCCCGGTGAAGTTGACGTGTTGGTTGCACCCCCGTATTTAGGCGATCCAGTGTGTGTATTGGATTAGTCGGTATGACCGGCAGGCATTGCACTAACGCCTGTCGATCGCCTTAAATACAAAAAAACTGCAGCCAGTGAGGTTAATCCGAGGCGCGGTTATTGCTGATTGAAAACTTTTCCCAATACCCCGCAAGACGACTTGAAATACAGTCGGTTTTGCAATTTTTGTCGGTCCGTACGTGGACCCTTCTAAAGAAAAACAGATACCTTGGTCTTAGAAGTCAGCATGTTAAAGGTCTCGTGCAGATACAGTTGTAAACAGTGACAGGACCCTAGAGGGCACAATAGCACTGTATTCCTGGATTGGAATTCTTGGTGCGTGCTGCCCGCGGTTTCTCCAGATCTTGATCGAATTTCAGTCCAAAATTCATCATCTTTCAGACCTGGACGATTTTAGACCTGACCTTTTGCGTTTCCAAAGTGTTCAAATGGAGCTTTCTGTTTGAAGATAAAAAGGACGAAAGAAAGGGAAAAGCGCGTTTATTGTAGTTCCTCTGAGAGCCGTAGTCAAAATTAGATCATAAGTTTTCAATTTGTTACTAGCGTCCGTTGTGATCAACTTATATATCCCCACGATCTCAACTACAGCTTCCAGAAGTCATAGCAAGCTCTCTACTTCCACTACTACTAGCAGAAACTTTGCACATGTGACTTCATGATGAAAACGGTGTACTAAATACGAGAAAATTGTGAGGCTAGTCGAGTAGGGCTGTCGTCAAGAACAAAATTGCCGCGTCATCGTCGACTGAGCTTTTAGGCAAGGCGGAAATATGTTTGAGACTAGAGAAGAACTTTCTTCTTGCGTTATAATATTGCAACATCTAGATTCCGATATTTTTCTAACTTTTGTTGAACTTTTGTCAAGAGAGAGGGACTGGCTAGAGAGTTACTCTGACATGATATTGGCCCTATTCCCAAACTAGGGCAATCCTGTGCAAGTCATGTGTAGATCATTCTTGGGTTCAGAATTCCCAGGAAATAACCGATCCTATGACGCGGATTCTGTTCACGTGGACATCTCAAGCAGCTTTACACGCATTTCCATCCTCCACGAACACATCCACGTAACTCGCGTGGTAACATTATCCTCGGAAGAACTGTGTACCATGTAGAGAAATGATATGGGAGGAATTATCTTTGGGAATAAGGCCAATATGGCGGACTAAGTCTCTAGCCCTTTATCTTTTCTTAATTGTCTTTCGTTCTATTTATAGTTTCTCAGTTAATTTGGAATATCTACCGAGGAAGCTGAGGAGGTTACTAATTCTGCGTTTGTTGTTACGGAGGTGCTGCAATTACACGCTGTTTCAGTTCGCTCTGTTGGTGGAAATGGTCAAAGGATCGATCCGACCGATCACAATTTAAACGACTTTATTTCACGTTGTGTCAGATAAAACCTTCACTATGCAGTGTTTTCCCTGGGCGACTGGAAGTGATCCGTTTTTATGGGATTACACTTTAAAAAATCTGCCTGGCTTAAAATATCATTGGGTGTTGCACACAGTTGGAGTGCGTGAATTAAATATTTTTACTTCATCCACAGGATGATCCAGCATTTGTCATATCGGTCCTTATTTGACTGGTATTCGAATCCCTCGAGGATCAAGCTAAAGGGCTCAAAGCGTCTTTTTGTGGGCGTGGTTTGAGTTCACTTTCTTTTGGACAATTTTAAAACAGCAAGTGATTGGTGTAATATATTTTTTCAGGGTTGATTTCCCTTTAAGGCTAAATCTGCATTCGTGCGATTTGGCCCATCAGGCCGCAGCTCATCTTCAGTTTCCGTTGCATGAAGCGACTAGGAGTATGTCTACTCCCCGCTGGATGGGATGCTAGTCCATTGCAGGGTTTTCCAAGCACAGATTAAATTCACTGTTACCGAATACCGATTATTACACTTGACTGGAGAGAGGCACTGTGAGCGGTAAAGCCGGAGTCTTGTCCAAGAACACAACACAAGGACAGCAGCTAGGGATCAAACCTGAACCACTCGACCTGAAGTCTCACTATGAACCACTAGACCACCTCGCCTCGTGCCTTCTTGTATAACTCTAACGGTGGTCACTTTTTAAAACCTAACTACAATGCACGAGTTTAACTCTTGTGAGGGGATAACGTAAAGGAGGTCACCCTTTAGAAAACTGAGCTAAAAGCAGGTAAAAGACAACAATGACGTAATAGGTCGTAACAGGTTAAACTAGGAAGTTGTGATGTTTGCCAAAACACAAATGTTCTGCTCTTTCGGTATCCCATAACAAAGCTAGAATGTTATTGTAATCGATATCCACAGAAACTCAATCCCAAACACGCGCCTATACTCTGTTACATTTCGGTTTCGAGGGGTTATCACTAGATCTTGGCCGTCAGTTTTCTCCAAATGAAATAATGATTTACGGACAGTAGTCTTGTTAGTCAGAACGAAAGTGTCGCTTTTTTCATTTTTCAGACCGAAGCAGATAAGAAGCTTGCTTGCAGTTTGCTCTCAGTGAAAACGACATACATGATGTCTGCGGTGCTGCAGTCGAGAAAGGTTAAAACCTCCACGAAACCGAACAGTGGAGAAACATCGAACGAACAAGTTGGCTATTTCAAGGAGTTTACTATCGCTGTGTTTGGTGATTCTGGTGTGGGAAAAAGCTCCATCATTCGCCAACTTGTCGGTGAAGCATACGTTCATGATCACTTGCCTACCGTAGAGGAATTCTATGTGAAGCAGATCACCCACAAAAACAAAGCATGCGAGCTTCACATCATTGATACCTCTGGAACGTACGAATTCCCTCCTATGAGAAGAATAGCCATCCAAAAAGCTGATGCAGCAATCTTGGTGTATTCTCTAGACAAACCGGAATCCTTTACTAAGCTGGAGAGATACATGGAGGAAATCGAGAGTTGCTGTGCTGAGAGAAACCGGAAGATTCCCGTCATCATTGTATCTAACAAATCTGATCTTCCCAATTTGTCCGAGCCGACGTTTCGCGATTCCCATGGCGTTAAAATGAGTGCGTGTGTTTATTTGGAGACCAAGTGGAAGTGTCAATGGCTGGCCACTTCAGCCAAGTTTAAGCTTAATGTGGAGGCGATATTTCTCCAACTTTTGGACAAATTGTCGCCTGAGAGGAAGGCTCAAAGAAGCCACAGTTTTCGAAAACCAAAATTGCATTGATTCTTTAGATCAATGAAGGGCGCTTTATTTCAATTGTATATGAACCGAAGACAACGCCTGCTTTAGTTGTAGACCAATCTTTCGCTGATCACACTTTCCGTTACACACTACTGCTAATGAACAGTGAATTAGATGTACTCACGAACTAAAAGTAATTAACTTATGAAGCCACTCATGGATAGGAACGATGAAGAAAGCTCTAAGTATCGCCAATTAAGAGCGCGGCGTTAGCCATTTCTGTGGCACTGGAATGTGTTCGAGCTCATTCTCCATGGTTTAAAGTTAAAGCTAGGGATAATTAATGGGACGCAAGAAAGTGTTCAAAATTCAGCAGTCACGTACAGAGTAGTCTTGTTTAGTAGAATGAAAATGAACAGCCCCTTTTAATCAGAGGCTAAGAGGTTTTATCACTAGTTTACGTAACTGGGAACTGCACGCGATAATCTCCAGGCTTCATCACGGCAGAAAAAGCTAATTTAAAACCACACTTTTCATTCTGCTAATCTCTCGAAAGTGTTTGTAACAGTTCTGTGTCAAAAATCTTAGTGAGTTATATGTAAGCTTATGTAGTTTGGCACCATAATTAACTCAACTTCACCGTAGAAACAAGGAAAAAAACAGCAGGTAAGATTGATTCGGATTGACGAGCGCGCAAAACAGCTGTGGCATCTGGTTCAGCTGACCTCGCAAGCGACCCAGATAAATGACTAATTAAAGTAAACAGTGTTTTGTAGTCGTCCTAAATAAGACTACACCAAAATAATAACGTCCACCAGTTGATCTTCCTATGCTTTGCGAAAGCCTTGATTTTCACTAAATTTCAGTTTCAACTATGACGCCAAGCGACTTGCTTTGTTACTCCACCCAATCTTATACTTACAGACGTAACTCGTCGACTCTTCGTGTCGGGTCGAACTTCGCGCTTTAGCTAGGGAACTATTATTTTATCACAGTACATTTTTATTGTATACTATTTCATTTATAAAACTGTTATGTTAGTTAAAATGCACAATTCTAATGTTAGCTTCAGAAATGTTGAGTTCACAAAGTAAAAAGAATTAATCTTGTAATATACTATGTTACGAGCTCAAAACCACATACGATTAACGGATTATAATTTGTTAACTATGCAAACTGTCCAGTTAATTAAATTTGGATAGTGTCCAAATTAACAAGTAATTTGGAAGATGGAATATCTGGACGGTTCGGTACTTACATGTATTATTGAATCGATATTGAATCATTTTTTTTCTAGTTTCATGATTTTTTATCACATTATTCCAAAATGGCAGCATCCGGTCTTATTGTATGATAATAATCGGATTATATTTGAGCTAAAGCGGACTGCGCAGTCAAATTGCCAATGAAACAAATAACTAGTTCTAAGGATCTCATGACTCAACAGATTTCTCTTTTGTTCTCTTTTGTGTTCTCTTTTGTTTTGTCTACTAAAATAGTAAATATCAAGGAAGAATGACATATCTACTGAAAATTTGAAAATAGCGGAAGGCTTACTTCAGTTTCTGCTCTGATAAATATCAATATCATAGCAACCAACCAATCGCAAGCAAAAACAAAAGTAACGTGTCTTGGGCGCATATTCCTGCCCTTTGCATTCCCGCCCTTTGCATGGTTTGCAGTGTCTCAAGGTTTAGTAGGTTTGTAGTATTATTTGTATTAATTAATTATAATAAATGAATAATCGTACTGAATGCTTGAGCAATTAAGGATTTACACTGCTCGTGATATTTGAAAATTCTTCAGAAATTCCACTTGCGTCAAGGCTCGAGCAGTTTTGAGAGAATTTCGAAATAGCACAATTAGCGCAGATACCTAATTGCACTTGCATTCATACGATTACCTATTCTACTTTTTCTGGAAAAAAAGAGGTTAGAACCCTTTACTAAGTTTTGATTTAGTATGCCCAGTTTTCGATCGCGTTTCCTAAATGTCATGATACAATCATTATAAGCTGCGTGAAAAATAAATTTCATAACTTAAACTACAAATTATCTTAACTTAGAATATGGGTACAACGCCACGCTTAGGACGACACTAATTCAAGGTGTTAATTCATTTTCGACTAGGTAAATTATTT